TCTGGTCTAGTGATGGTCAAATAGATCAATCTTCCCACAAGACGTCTATACACTGAAGGATCATTTAGAAGATCTCCATCGGATCGTGTGAGAGCCAAATTTTGTTCCATGGGAAACGTTGCTGGTTTAGCTCCAAGAAATCCAACATCTTCTAATATCTCCAATGCATATTTTCTTTGAGAGAGACAAATGCCGTTTGAAGATCTTGCCACTTCTATTCCCAAGAAATATTTGAGTTCACCAAGATCCTTGAGCTTGAATTGTTTGGATGGGAACTCCTTTGAATTTTGAATATGTTGCATATCATTACGCCCCCTCAAGTGTAGGGGGATTACATTTGAAGCCTTGCACTTGAAATATTTGAATTGGGTGGCGGTGGGATTCGAACTCAGGACCTTTCATTTGGCCTGGCTCTGATACCATAATAAGAGAATATTTGGAATAAAACATATGTATTATATTTCAAGGAGAAGAGCTCACAGCTTTATACACGATTGAAATAAATTAGCTCCCATGTCAAAGCCTAATAATCAGCTTTGACTTCTATCTAAATGGTAAGTAAATAATACACAGAATATATACTTTCCTATTCTACTTGATTCTCTTTAACAGTAAGGGAAAACAAAAACCTAAATCTTGACATAAAATTCTTCCTCAGTTAATTTATTATTTAATTTAGATCCTTTACATACAATGTGAATGTATATATTATTGTTGCTTGAAAGTCTTTTTTTGCTAAAATTCTTAAGACCTCCTAAAATCCTGGATTTCAACACATATGTTATTGAGTTCTCTCTGAAAAAGACATGAATAAAAAATTATTGAATAAGTTTTGCTGTTACAGTAAGTAATAATTCAATTGACCGATTATATTGGTGGGGCCACTGGTTAAGAATGGGAAATCAACCAAATCAAACGTTGTACTCAAGAGTACAGTTTATCATAGTTTATCATATCCTCGGTAATAACACCAACCAAAGAAGCTCTCTGTGAACAAGAAAGACGACATGTGAAATTTGTGCAAACTTAAATAATGAAAACTGTAATTTTTTTGACTTGTATCGGTATCTGTTTTGTTGATGTAGTATATGGTGACAATTTTGACTATAGTGTATGATATTTAGAGTTGCATTTATGTGAAATATTTTTGTAAATATACAGTCATCACAATAATCTGTATAAATTCTAGAATTTTTTATAACTGGAAAAGGTCAAGCTAATCGGTCAGATTTAATTAATATGACAAGAAAATAACTTGGCCATGCCAAACTTTCATTGACTGAATTAATAAGGGTCTTTCTAGGGTGAGATCCCATGTTCTAAACTTTTATGAGATACCCCCTTTATATTGCGCCACGTGTCCTTGCCAAAAAATCCATTTTTTTCTCATTTACGTATTGTCGTAAATACCCTTCGTATAATTAATATTTTCAAAAAATCAGCCATTATATATTATTAATGTAATGTCAATTTTACCCTCTATATTTGTAATGCAATTTTAAATATATATATTTATTGCTGAATTAAAATTTATAATGTCAATTATATCATTATTCGTAAAAATCATTAAACCACCCATCCAAAATTGCATCAACCTGAATTCGAACTCGTGACCATCTGAAAACACACAAGAATACTTACCATTAAGACACAACACATAATTGACAATAAACTAACAATACGGATATATATCACAAAGATACAATTTATAATGGTTATAAAACTTATATAAATAATGTTAAATAAATTATTAATTCTCATATAATTATTATTATTATATATTAAAAATATCCCATACTAACAAATCTTTATATAATATAATTTAAAAATCTAAGGAAATGTTGTTCAACTCGTGTAATTTAAAAATGAGTTTCGAAAGAATTTGAAGTTTGAATTGAATCGTAAATTGGAAGATTTAATTAAATCGTAATATTTGAATCAATTAAACTCATGTGTTTTCAATTCAAAAACAATATTCAAAGATTTGATCGATTAAGCTCAACTCATTTCAATTCGTATACAATATTCAAATATTTGAATCGGTTAAACTCAATAATTTACAATAGCGTATTAATCAATCCGTGTATAGTTAAAGTTTAGTAACCTTTGTTTTATTGAATTTTATCATAAAAAATAATAAAATTTAATTCGTAAAAATCGTAAGATTTAATCGGTTCATGGTTAGATTAAATCTTACGATTTACGATATGATTTTTACGATTTTACGAATTAAATTATTATTTTGTTGTTAAAATTGAATTAAAAGGATAGTAGACTTTAATTATAAATAGTTAACTCGATTAATACGTTCTTGTCAGTGGTTGAACTTAATCGATTCAAATTTTTGAATAATATTTACAAATTAAAAGGATTTGCGCTTAATTGATTCAAATCATACGCTTTAATTAATCTTATGATTTGATTCTTGCGTAATTTAGGAATTATTTTTTTATGATAAAATTGAATTAAAAATGTATTACACTTTAATTAATAATAGTTAATTTGATTAAGACGTTCTTGTCAATAGTTGAGCGCGCTAATGAATCGATTCAAATATTTGAATAATTTTTACGAATTGAAAGGACTTGAGCTTAATTGGTTCAAATATTACGCTTTGATAAAATATTATGATTTACGATTAGGTTCTTACATGTGTTAAGAATTAAATTTACTATTTTTTATGACAAAATTGAATTAAAAAGATATTAGACATTACTTATAAATAGTTAAATCAATTATGTAACATGTTATGTCAATAGTTAAGCAACCGGTTAAAATATTTGAATAATGTTTACTAATTGAAAGGATTTGTACTTCATCGATTCAAATCTTACTAGTTGATTAAATTAAATATTAAAAGAAAATTCACAATATAGTATTTGTAGTATATAATTTTATTTTAAAGTAAGAAAACTACTAATTGGAATGAGTTATAATTTTTTCTTCTTCTAAACAAACATATTATTTTATTTTTTATTTGGATTTGTCACACTATCGATTAAATAACATAATTGAGTTTGAATTAAGTTATGCATTTTTTTATATTTAATTGAGCATTCTTTACATTTTTAAATGGTGGAGTTTATTAATACTTCTAATATTATATAATTAATGATAGATGTTTGGCGTATTGAACTGCAATTCTTTATATTTTTAAAACTTTATTTTATTAAATTTGTTAATAATTTATTTAATATCATTTAATAATAATGAATGTTGCAATTAATATTTGAATTAACAGTATTTATACAATTATGGTTAAATATATCATAATAAGTTAATGTGCTTGGATGGTTAGGAGTAATAAATGTATTAAGAGGTCACAAGTTCTATTCCTAATGAATGCATTTTTTTCGATTATTTATCAAATAAATCTCGATCACAATGAATTTAAATTAATTATTTAATTAAAATATAGTAGGGGGTAAATTAGACAATTCAATGTTAATCAATTTTATATTAATTTAATAAAAAAAAATAATCGAAGGATAATTTGGTAAAGTACTTCATTTTTTAGAACATAAGCCATGTTATTTTCCTAGGGTCCAGATTTAATCTTAGAAAATTAATGGTGATTAATGCATATCTCATAAAAGTTTAGAACATGGGGTATCTCACCCTAGAAAGACCCAATTAATAAACAAAGTAAAACTGGAGAAGAGGTCACTGAAATTCATTACTTCATTTATATCAAAGGTTTTAATTCAAAGGTCTTAATATGTAGGCCCCAATTATAAAATTAATTAGAGCTAAATGAAATCTCCAACTAAATTTTTATTTCACATCATTTATTACATTCATTCCATACATGCTTTTTATACATAAAAAGTGAAATTTGCACTAAGTAATGTTCAAACGGCATTTATCATCTTTTATTCTGCGTATAATATCTTTAATTTTTCATCTAATATTATTGTTAATTTTTTTTAATGTAGAACACTTTTTTTTTTTTCATTTTAGTATTTTTTTTCACTATTATAACAACCTATTTATTTGCTTTTTTTTTTGTTTCTACGTAGTATTTAAAATTATGAAAATATCTTATTTTTTAATTTTTTATTGTAATCTATAGACAACCGTAAAAAACTAGTAAGCTGTAGTCAGTTATAGTCATTCGTACTCACACAATTCGAGAACTCTAACTCCCATTCTAACCCTAGCCGTTAGGCACCCGTAGACTCTCATAGTAATCTACAGTAACGCATAGTCATCCACGCCTATCCAGAAATGAAAACCTAGATCGATCTGCAACCACAACTGCCATTAACCGTGCCACCGCTATAACAATCACCTCTCCTATCGCCATCACCACCACCATCAATGCTCTAACCTCCATAACCACCACCCACACCCACCGACTCCATAGCAGCCGCCAGGCCCACCGCCCACCACCGCCGCCCTCATACCTACCACCGCCATAACCGCCTCTATATCCATCGCCGCTAGGCCACCACACACCATAGCTGCTTCCATAACCAAGTCCCACACCCAGATCCACCTCAAAATATGGGCCAATATTTGTTTTTAACTAAGGATTAGTTAAAATGTACTATTTGAGATTGTACCTCATATCTAATAAGGTTTGATTTGAGGGGTGTCCAACATATTACACCTTTAATTTATTTTTATTTTTAATTTCTAGTTTTCTTTTACCATTGTGAAATTTGTTTATCTTTCTCTAAATTTTCTAAAATTTAAATGCAATCCAAGGGACAAACATCTGATGAATCTAGATTTATTTATTTGCTAGTTTTCAGTATTTAATTAAAGAACGAGAGTCTACCTTAATTTTTTCAATATAAAAAGAAAGTAATAGGTGTTGTAAATATACTAAACGAACTCAAGCAAAACAAAGATTTAAGACATGAAATATAGTGAAGAGATCAAGAACATTTTGTTCTTGTTCTTTCTTGTATTCTCACACTTTAAACCAAAAATGTATTAGTGAAACATAGGATACGATTCATCAAATTTTAAAGTAGGATCTTGTAAGATTCCTAGTTTGCCTGAGAAAAGCATTCAGATTCTCAGGCCAACATTTGATACTCAGTTTCCAAGAGTGTCTTGTGGCTCGATTCTTGATCGACCAATCTACGTGGCTCTTCCCACAACTTCGTCTCCACCCCCAACTTCCTTAGCTCCATTAGACCACGCTCCACTGTCACATGCATCAAATTTCATGTTAGAGAGAGAGAGAGCGATAGAGACTTACAGAGACACAGAGAGAGAGAGAGAGAGAGAGAGAGAGAGAGAGAGAGAGAGAGAGAGAGAGAGAGAGAGAGAGAGAGAGACCGTCGACTGCATCGTGGGAAGTAGGCTGTTTATTCCATTGGTTGATCCATAACTGAAGTCTTTCCTCAGCAATGTCAGCTTCCAATCCTTGATTTTTGGCTCTTCTCCAAAAGTACAACAGCCAAGCCTGAAAAGTGTACAACACAACACAACAAAACCAAAGTTTTTTATTAACCGATATCGACTCGTCAAATATCGAACTTCTCGTTTGAATTTTCCAAATGCAGTTTACCTGCTTAAGAAGCACATCTTCAGTCTCCTCTGAGCTCAATTCTGAAACAGAGTGCAATTATTATTGAATACATAAACATGTGTATATATATATACATATATGTATATGTATTCAATATATTTGTACAAGAACTTACCATATGCTTCTGAGAAATTTGGGCCCTCAATTGGTAACTTTAAATCATCTACAAAACAGAAATTGAAATTAAGTATAGTTTTAATTCACTTCTTTAACAATTAAATAAATAAATATTGATTTAATTAAGAAATGAAGTCATATACCTAGCACATTAGATTTCACAATACTCGGGCGACGCTTTCGCGCCATTGATATGGCTATCGCCTCCTCTACCTTAAGAATAAACGTGAACCGAAAAAACAAAAATCAACATAAAAAAAAAATAGTAATGCATCATAAATAAATTAACGAAAAATAAAAAAATAAATTATTTTTACAGAGAATTTACGAAACCTTGAGCGAAGTTAGTTCCCGAAGACCTTTTTCAACCATAAGCATGCTTTCGACGTTCACCATTTTCGGAACTTGATCCTTTGCCTGCAGAACTTTCTCCCGTACTTCCAAATCACTGTTCACTGCCAAAATTAATATAAAAAAAATCGAGAGAAGCTTAGCGTTTCGTCGAGTTTTCCGTAAAACGAAGGGGTAATATATATTATTGTATAGTTTTTTCTTACAGGATGAGTTTTCTAGTTTTGCTTTCTTTCCTGCAGCCAGTATAACTTCAACAGGAGTCGAAGCAAACGACGACCAATAATCGTATCTCGCTCCAGCTATCTCAGCATGAATACCTGCAAATACATTTTATAAAATGATAATTTAAATATTGAAACAAAATAATCAAGAACTAAATTAAATTAAAATTAAATTATAGTAACATCACCATGTTTGACACATAAACTCCAGCATCGAGCAAGCCAGCACCTCTTTAAAACAACCTCTTCCTAAAGTGTTAAGACTGTCAATCACATAAGTATGGACAAAGAAAGAAAAAAAAGCAATAATAATAATAAAAAATAAAAAGTTAAATAAATAAAAAGAGGATTTAATTTAAATAGTGAGATAAATACCATTTCTTCTTGAGTTAAAATCATTCTCTGTGTAACAATCTGAAGCGATTTAACTTCACGCTCCACATCATGGAGCTGCTCCATAGCTGATGTAGCTTCTTCCCTTGCAGCCTTTAACCAAGAAATAAAATCATAAAAATCATTTTACGCAAGAAAAAAAATACAGAGAAATTTGGCGCAAATTTTCCTTAACACAAGAGGGTTTTATGATGTTTACCCTATATTTCCTACTCATCTTTGTTAAATAATGAACCCTTTAATTATTTAATAAAAGCGGGTAAAATACGGTTGCCCCTGTCAAATTATGAAAAAACTCTCTTATGTTTGGATAATTACAATTACCCATCAACTATGAATCTTCTTACACGTTCACTCTCGTGGTGTTAAATTTAGTGGAATCTTTTAAATTATGTGGAATATTCTCTAGTTTGTACCCGTTTTACCCCACTCGAGCTCCACATTTTGAAATAGGATGATCATAAGATGTGTCTCTTGGCTTGTAAATATCAGGTTGTGGTGCATAAGAAACTGCATTTTTTGCACATAACGAGTACAAACTGGAGAATATTCCACATAATCTAGAAGATTGGGTTGAATTGACATCCATAAGGGTGGACGTGTAATAAGATCGATAGTTGAGGGGTGGTTCGTAATTTGACCTTACCTCAGGGGTAGCCGTAATTATCCGTAATAAAAAGAAAATAAGGAAATTGTAATTTGTAAGTACCTCAGCTTCCATTCGAAGGACAGTAAGCTCCTCGCCACCTCCACCACCGCCGTAGGTTTCTGCTGCCGCTTTTAGAGCAGCCTGAGAAAACACAAATAAGAAAAGGTGTTCGATGAAATGCAAAGTCGACGTCCATTCGAAAAACAAATACATTATTTACACGATTTAATAATAGTATCTATTTTACGACGTACCTCTCGTTTCTGAAGGTCTGCTTCCTTCCTATAGAGTTAGCAGCACAATCGAAGGGAAAAACTCAGATCGAAAACCGCAATGTCGTTTTAGCAAAAAAGAGTAAGGAAAAAAATCCATTTTACTTGCCTGCTCAAAAGACGAGCTTCGAGAGATACACCTTCGCCTAGAGACGCAATCTAACACAAGATAGTGAATTCACAATTCTCGATTTTAATATAACAGAAGTTACGATTTCAAGAAATTGTTCTGTTTTAGCAGAGGATTGATTACCTGTTTTTCGAGCTGTCGAGTTCTTGATTCCGCTTCCTCGCACCTTTCTTCCACTAATCGAAGCTAAAAACAGAAGATTACTACTACATTTAGATGCTAATAATTAAACTTGCTGGAAAAAAAAAAACAGAAACATGTAATATATATATTGAAATATGCAAGTATAGGTAGAAGCTATGATCACCTTTTCCACTAAGCTGTCATTTTCTTCCTGTAGCATGTCGAGCTGCGATACAGAGGACACTAGTATGAGTGTCTTAACATAATAATTATCGTATTTTACGTAAAATAAAGTTTTTGAAAAAAATTAAATAAAATCATCGACCGAAGAGTAGATACATTGTCGACTTATACCTCATCTTGTAGGGCCGAAGACGACTGTTGGCCGCTAGGCTCTTTATATTTGAAAGTCCCAAAATCTAGTGATAACCTGCGTATTCACAGATTAACTAAGTCCAACATATCATACAAATACAAAGCAGAAAATCTAACCACAGTAGAATTTTGATAAATTAATAACCTCGCTTGAATAATAACTTATTTCGGTTCCGACTCGGGTAAAAACATACTATATTATTAGTTTGATAATTTAATATTTCGTTTAATTAGTAGAATTTTCTTAGTCCGCTGACTGTATTAATTTATAAATGTTTAACTGTCATAACTTCTTCTGGTTGGTCCCGACTCAGTAAAAACGTACTAAATTATTATAATTTCATATTTCGCTAAATTAATAGAATTTTGTTAGTCAAGACTGTGTTAAATTATTGAAGTTTAACTGTATCAGGAAAAACTCACAAAATCGGATAAATTAAACATGAAACAAAAAATCAAAACAAATAAATACAGATAATATACCTTTTATCTCTAGTTTTTTCTTGTAGAGAGTCAGCCGACAGCACAGGCTTAATCGAAAGCGGTACGGCTGGCGGCACAATAGCAGCAGTCTTCACCTTCAAATTCGGACGTCCGACCGATCCAAAACGGGCCGAAGTAGGCTGCTCCGAGAAAGAAGGCGATCTTCCGGAAGCACTCGATCTACCATGCTGCGGCGACTGCGACTCATCGGCGGGGTCCGCATGCTGAGTCGAACGGGCGGATCCCGAAGAAGAGTGAAAGTGTGGAGAAACTTCCACCGCAACAGGTTGAGACGAGCGGAACGGTATCGAGGAGGAAGAGTGCTGGTGATGCGGTGAAAGTTCGACGGGCTGAGATGAACGGACGGATATCGAGGAAGGCGGAAGGTGTGTAGAAGGTTCCGGCGGCTTCGGCTGAGGAGGAGTCGGCCGGAGAAGAGATGTCGTGGTGCGAGCCGATAAAGGCTGCTGTTGTTGTTCCGATAAGTTGTAAGATGAGGAGGGTCTTGCAACCGATGAGGGGCGGGAAGATGGTGGTGGTGGCTGATCTACCGAGCTACGAACTGACTAGAAAGTAATGTATCGAAAGATTTAGGCTTTAACAAAATTATTAGCGACGTTGTTAGTCTATTTTGGATCAAGAAAACTACGTACTCGGAATAAATGATGAGTGTTTAGCGTTTGGATTGAAGGATTTGGGGGAGGGAGTTTGATAGTAACAAATTTGTTGAGATTGTTTGGATTGAGTCGTTTCAAAAAGTGAAATGTTAAATGTTGGTTGCAATTTTACTAATATTGTTTCGACTTCGAACGTGATTTTGATCCTTTTATAGTCTGATTGCGGCAAAATTAAAAAAGCGGAAACTATAGTCCTTTGAGTTAGCTTCTTAATCAAATTTAAGCAGCTAGATTGGATGCGGTGACAAAATTATGTATGAATCATTTACATGTCGAATTTTAGATAACATAAAACATCAAAGTTGTGAGCAATGTTATATCTTTCTCACCTAACATCCAATTTTGCTGACCCGCGTTAGATTAGAAAGCCAAGTCAAAGAACTACAAGTCCATATTTTAAGTTTTGCCAAATTCAGACTCGAAAACGGTCAAAACCGCGTCTCAAGTCGAAAATGTATTAGTAAAACTGAAACAACATTTATTACATCCCATTTCAAAATCCATACTTCTCACCTTTGAGCTCCCCAGTTAGAGTCATTTCAAATCCCTCAATTCAAACGCAGCCTTATAGTAACAACAACAAAAACTCGAAAAGCGCACTATGTTCATATACTTGTAATAAGAAAGTTGCAAAGAGTATATAGTATAGCACTAAAACGAGGACTTGTTTAGACAAATGCAATATACAAAATGCCACATGTAAGGTTCTTACCCGTGGAGATCGATTCTTGTTTTGCCTACCGCCGGCGAGACCAATACCGCCAGAAGAAACGGCAGGGGCAAAATCGTAAAGAAGGTCATCCTCCTCGTCTTCGTCATCTGCCGGTTGATGAGCCATAACCTGAGCAAGCCTTTGAGCAGCTGCTTTTGCATTCTGCGGTTTCTTCATATTCGAAAGCCCCGAAGAACTCGACCGAGTATGCCGATGCAATGGGGAGGCCATCGCTTTTATCTAAAAGAAAAATCATTCAATAAATTTAACAAAAAAAAAATAATAATAATAATTTGCGGCCGAACTCAAAATGCGTGCCTACGACAACTCTTAATTATACGTGCGAAATTTCAAGAACCGATCAAAACAACAGCCGACATCAATAATACAAAATATCCCACCAAAAATACCTACAACAAAAATCGGATCTTTACGAAGGAGGGCTTGAAACAAATCGACCCGTAAATCGATTTTTTGTATTAATTCTATGGTGTATTGCAGAGATTTCTTGAACATCTGAAAAATAATACGATGTATGTATATAGTGCAATGTGTATTAATTCATACGTTGTACCTGATTGAGATTTTTTTTGTCCGATCAAATTGATTCAATTTTTTCTCTCTCTCTCTCTCTCTATCTCTCTCTCTCTCACACACACACACAGTGGCGGGTGAATAATGAATCCCTTGTTGGGGGGTAGTTACAATTTGGCGCTGTAATTGTATGGGGAGTGGAGTTGGATTCGGAGTTTTTAAGGAAGAGAGAAAATCACTGCCCCACGTGTGCCTCCGCTTTCCCAAATATTTCCCCCATGCAAATCCCCCATTATAAACCTTCACATAAAATGCGCAGCTTGATTTTTTTTATTATTTTATTCCACGTGGAAACATGAAAATGATTTAAAATATTCCATCCATAAAAAGTAAAATATTTATCAATGTAATTTGGGAAATATATTCTTTTGTATCTTTTAATTCAAATAAAATTTCTTCGGATTTTTTAACATTAAATGATCTCTCCATAGAAACTTAACAAGCAACAGTCAAAATAGTAAGTGCATAAAATTTAAACATAGTTTTCAATTTTTTT